GGAAAGGAGGGGGGAGGGAAGGGAAGGGAAGGGAAGGGAAGGGAAGGGAAGGGAAGGGAAGGGAAGGAAAAAGCTCTGGGAGGCTGAGGCCTCCAGGTGAAAGGTCAAGACCATCTTGGACAACTCAGTAAGACCCTATCTCAAAATAAAAAATAAAAACAAAGACTGGGGATGTAGCTTAGTGCAAAGGCCCTGGGTTTAATCACCAGGGCAAAGGAAGAAAGAAAGAAAGAGAGAGAGAAAGAAAGAAACAAAGACAGAAAGAAATGAGAGAGGGAGGGAGGGAGAGAGAGAGAGAAGAAGAGGGGAAAGGAAGGAGGGAGAGAGGGAAGGAGGGAGAGAATTCACCTATCATGTCGAAGCAATGTTCATTAATGTTTTTTTATGTTTCTCCTCTATCTTTTCCCCAGGCATATTTTTATATATTCCAACCATACCACATATGCAAATTTGCATCCTGTTCATTTTCCAGACAAATTGCATTCACCCGGAATGAACAGCTATACAGCCTGTGACTGCTTGCCTGTGCCCTGACTTCATTGTTAGAATTAGTTCTTTGCCCTGGAAAGTAATAAAGAGATGACCCTTCTGGCCCTTAGGGCAGCATACATTAAGGATATGATTTCAGTTCTTGGTTCATCTGTGTTTAGAAAGAGCTGTGGAGTGAGTCTGTTTCTCTCTCCCCACTCCGACTGCCTGGAACTGGGGCATGGCGGGGCCATTCTGAATCACACAGGCTGGGCTCTCCTAGGGATGACAGCACCGTAGGCAGACCTAGCCTGCGTCTCTGCCCTGGGAAGCCTCCATCCTAGGCTGGGACATTTGTGTTTGGTCTATAGTAGTTCCACTTATTCTGGGGGGATGTGTCCCAAAACCCCAACAGACACTGGAATCTAGGGTTAGTATTGAATCCCATACATACTTTGTGTGTGTATGTGTGTGTGTGTGTATATATATATATATATATAATATATTTAATATATACATTAAATTTAATTTATCATTTAAGCACTAAGGGGTCAACAACAACTAATAATAAAATAGGACAATTTAAACTATATATCATTCTAAAAGTCATGTAAATGAGGCATCAGCTGGGCACAGTGACACATAGCTACGAACCCAAGATCCTGGGAAGCCAAAGCAAGATGATCACAAGTTTAAGCTCAGCTTGGGTAAATTTATTGACTTATTTTATTTTACTTTTATGGTCTTTTTGAGACAGGGTCTGGCTATGCAGTTCAGGCTAGTCTTGAAATCACTTTGTAGCCTAGGCTGGTCTCAAACTCAAAACAATCCTCCTGCCTCAGCCTCCCGAGTACTAGGATTACAGGCATATGCCACCAACGCTTGGCAGGGATATTTTATCTTATTTTATTTTTTTGGTCCAAATTTAGTGACTTAGTGAGACCCTGTCTCAAAACAAAACAAAACAAAAAACTGGGGATGTAGCTTATTGTGAAGACCCTGGGTTTAGTCTCCAGTAATGGGTGGTGGGTATGGGTATCTTTCTCTCTCAGAAAAGGTTACTTGAATGTAAGCATTCCAATATGTTGACTGTTGGTCTGGTAATTGAGATGGCCACTAAGTGCCTAACGGGCAGGTGACTCATACTGTGTGGATACACTAGACAAATAGATAATTTGGATTCTCAATGGGACAAAATGGAGTAGGCTGGGATTTCATCCTGCTACTGAAAACAGAGAGTGATTTACAACTTATGAATTGTTTATTTCTGGACTTTCCATTTAGTATTTTTGGTAACTGAAACTATAGAAAGTGAAACCATGGGCAAGTGCATATTTGTGTGTGAGAAATAAGGTTCTACTTTGTTTAAACTACTGTTGCACTGAGTTCTGTTTTAGTGTTCATGTCCTTTTCTATCCTAACAGTGCTCATTACAAATGAATAACTCTTGCTTGTAAATTTCTGAAATATCAGTCTTTCTTTCTTCTTTCCTTCCTCTTTCTTTCTTTTCTTTCTGTCCTTCTTTCTTTCTTTCTTTCTTTCTTTCTTTCTTTCTTTCTTTCTTTCTTTCTTTCTTTCTTTTTAAGACTGGGTCTTGTTTTGTAGCCCAGGCTGACCTTGAACTCATGGTGGTCCTCCTGCTTCAGCCTCCTGAGTGCTGGGATTACAGATGTGTGCCACCACACCTGGCCAGAAATAGCGGTTTTGAAGGGGTCATAGTTGTCTGTTCTCTGGAGTGACTGATCTTTCATTCACTCATTCATTCACTGCATATTTACTGAGTGCCTACTTTGTCCAGGCCCAGAGCTGGGGGATGGGAAGCAGCAGTGAACAGAACTGCCCTCGAGGAGCCCACCTCCTAGCAAGAAAACATCAACAACATAACCTGTTTTGTCAGAGATGGCATGTCCCAAAACGTGTGGCAGAGACTGTAACTGCTCACCAAATTCTTGCCATTTGCTTCTTCCAATACTGCAAACTGCATTTCCCATCCTCCCAGACTGCATTTCCCATCCTCCCTTGCAACTCCATCTGGACACATTACTGGTTTCTAGCCAATGGCATGTGAGCAGATATGTTGTGCAACCCTTCCACCCTTAGGTGTGACAGACCTCCCACGTGGAAGCCCTCAGCTCCTTCAACTCCACTGAATGAGAGGGTGGGGGCAGTACAGAGGATGGAAGGCCCTGGGATCCCCATTTGCCTCTGAGGACCAGTCACCCCCCTGACCATATTATCTTCTGGTATGAATGAAAACTAGGTTAAGCCACTGAGAAGTGAGGATACTTTGGTGAACAACAGCTAGCTATTTACCTTGTTTAATACTCTTCGAAGAAAAACTCTGTAAACTGGTAGCTCTAATTTTTCACACCTCTTTATCTCCTTGCCTTTTCACTAACTTCTAACAACTCTCATCGAAGACTACAATGTATTGTCTCACACCGAGCAGGTCTCGCACCTGATTTAGCAAAAGAATAAAGCAGAAGAATGTGTGACACTTGCAAGCAACAGCTAACTAACACACTCTCCCTGTCCAAATAATTTCAGAAATTAATGCCTAGGCGGTCCCCTCCTGTACAGTTGTCATAGGCTATCACGTGTAAATGAAGATTCCTCCAACAAGAGCTCATCTAACTTCATTAAAGCCAGCATTCCCCATATATCATTCAGCGAGGAGCCCTTTTATCTTCAAGTATCTATTAATATTTCATGGATCTTTGTCAAACGCTCAAATGCTGGTAAGATGCATGCTTATTACCAATTTGCTTTGGTCTTTTTTTTGCTATTGTTCAAAAGTGGCATCATGAACATTCTTATAGTGAAATATTTTTCCCACTTGCTGGATTACTTTAAGAAACTAAATTCCTAGGAGTATAAAAGGTGGATTGACAGATTTGTATCTTCTCAGGCTTTGGACTCAGGCTGTGTAATCTTTTTCCAGTAAGGTCATTCCCATTCATATTCAGGGAATGGAGTCCCATTCATATCCCAGTCACAAAGAACAGAGACTCTCATTCCTGTGAGCTCTCTCCTTGGCCTTAGGGAACCACATTTTAAACATTCTCGCTGATCAACAGACAAATAGAAGCATCTCAGTATTTCAGGTAGTAAATTACTCAAATATTACTTGACGTAAATTTGTCTTTGATTAATTGTTGGTGTTGTTGGTGGTTTGTTGAGTTGGTTGGTTGGTTTGGTTGGTAGCACTGGGGATTGAACCCAGGGCCTTCACACTGAGCTACGCTTGTAGCCCTTTTCTTTTATTTTTTTATTTTGAGACAAAGTCTTGCTAAGTCACTCAGTTGCCCAGGTTGGCCTCAAAGAACCTAGATTCAGTCCCCAGTGCCTCAGTAAGTAAGTAAATAAGTAAGTAAGTAAGTAAATAAATAAATAAATAAATAACTTTAATTTTGATCCTGTCTTTTTGGACAGAAGGGATAGTCAGCTTTTTATACAGTCAAACCCATCAATCTTCTCCTCAGTGATTTGTTCTCGCTTTCAAGTACAAAAAGTCTTTCCATACCCAGAGGTTCTTAAATATTTATTCCATCTCCAGGACTTTTATTGTATAATATTCTTCCCACTTTCTACTTTGGTCCATCTGGATTTTATTTTCATTTATCGTGTAAGATGAAGCTACAAATTGATATTTTCCCCCCAAATGGTTGAGATACAAATCCAACTGGTGTGACATTATGCTTCTGTTCTATAATACGTTCCCTCCCTCTCTACTCTGTCTTTGGCCAGTCATTCTGGTATATTTCCCAAGGTGATTGTTCTCACACTGAAAACACACTTTAAATTACATGAGCTTCATAACTCTGTGTGTGTGTGTGTGTGTGTGTGTGTGTGTGTGTGTGTGTGTGGTAGCACCATGAATTCAGCACAAAACCTTCATAATGAACTGTACCCCCAGCCCTTTCTGATTTTTTTTAAATTTGGAGACATGATCTTGCTAAGTCACTAAGTTGCCCAGGCTAAGCTTGAATTTGTGAGCATCTAGCCAGTCTCCCAGAGTGCTGGGATTACAGGCATGAGCCACCAGGCTTAACTTTTCTTTCTTTCCTTCTTTCCTTCTTTCCCTCTTTCTTTCTTTCAAGCAAAGTCTCACTATGCTACCCAGACTAGCTTCAAACTCCTGGGGAATTTTCCTGCCTCAGCCTCTCGAGTAGTTTGGTTTAGGTCTCACCATACCCCTATTCTGCTCCATGATCTTATGGCCCTGTCACCAGTATATTCATAGCAACTAGAGCATAGTGCTTGGTAGGGACTCAAAAAATATGTGGTGAAAGAATGAATGAGTATATAAACGAATGAGCAAATAAAATGAATGAGTATGTTCACTCATTGATGTAGGGAATGAGCATATTTATGTTAGGTCAGCATCCTTCTCCTTCTTTCGGGCCTGCGGGCAAATAGGAAACCTTGTCTCAGATAACTGTTGCCACACAACAAAATATCCAAATACCAGTGGCTTAAAATAATGACCACCTGTTTTCTGCTCATTGTCCTGTGTTCAAGAGTTTGACAGAAGGCTAAGGAGGGGGCCTGTCCCTGCTCCCATGACACTGGCCGAGACTGCGGCACCCACAGTGGCTTGTTCACTTCCAGGTCTGCATCAGTTTGAGAACCTTAAATGGCTGGGCCGAGCTGTGACTGCAGAACAGGGGATCAGATGTCAGGGGCTCCAGCTCTTGCTCTTGTCTGGCTTCGTCAGCTCCTCCACGTGGCATTCCCGTATCATTTCTCCCCATGCCCCTTCAGGTGGCCTCTCCATATGATCCCCCACAGGCAGCTCAGGGGTCCTGAGCTCACAAAGGCAAAGCTGCCAGGCATAACACTCTGGGTAGAACCGGCTGAGGGTGACTCTGTCACAGTATATTGGTTAAAGCAAGTCAGGCATCCCAGACCGGCAGGCCGCGGGGATGGCAGGCGCGGTGTATTACATTAAGAGCGGAAACAGAGAGGCATAGTTTCTTGTGAGACACAGAATAACCATCTTCCCCAATGCATTGCTCAGCTCATTCACAAAGGCTGGATGCAAGGGTAGGCCACGCAGACACAGCCTCCTAAATGCAGTGAGCCCGGAGTGAGTCCAGTGAGTCCTGAGGCTGATGCCACCACTAACCCGGGTGGTGAGTGCCCAGGAAGGCTTTCACAGAGGCAACTGCACCCCTGGTGTCGGTACTCCGAGAGAGAACTAGGAGCTGAGTAACGTGAAGAAGCTGAAGTTATTTTGTTTCATGATTCTGGAGGCTGGAAAGTCCAAGCTTGGGTGCTGGGGTCTGGTGAGGGCTTCTGCTGCTTTACCTCATGGCAGGAAAGTCAGAGGGCACAGCAGGCGTGTGTGGAGGAGGCAAAACAGAGGGATGCTTAGTTTATAACAACAGCTCACCCATTTCAGCGACAGGCATTCACAATCTTAACAACCTTACCATCTCTCTTCTCTTTTTTCTTCTTTTCTTTTTGGCCCTGGGGATTAAACCCCGGGGCACTTTACCACTGAACTACATCTCCAGCCCCTTTTTAATTTTTTTTAAAAATTTATTTTGAGACAGGGCCTCTCTAAGTTGCCAGGCCTGGGCTCAAACTTTTGACCCTCCTGCCTCAGCTCCCTCTGCGCTGGGAGTACAGGTGTATGCACCACATCAGCTTATCACCTCCTAGAGGCCAGCTCCCAGGCATGCCACAGAGGTAATCACATTTCTACGTGAATTTTGGAAGTAATGAATCATATTCAAATCCAAGCACCTAGGTTTTAAAAATGAGTGGAACATGGCCATTCAAATGAAGATCATGTAAAAAATACATTAGGTTGAAACCACGTAGAGATTTGGTCCTGCCGAATCACTAAAGTTCAAGTCACGAAGATGAGGCTGTAAGTCAAAGCAAGGTCCATGTAACGCAGAATGATGGACGCCCTCAGTGCCATAAAGAAATGTGGCTTCTGTCTTGCAGGATGGCAATTCTCAGTCAGCAATTGGGCATCAGAGTTACTGTAGTCTAGGCAGGTGTGGTGGCGCATGCCTGTATCCCAGTGCTCAGGAGGCTGAGGCAGGTGAAACATCTCAATTCTGAGGCCAGTCTGGGCTTCCTAGTGAGCTCAAGACCAACCTGGACTATGTAGCGAGATCCTGTCTCAAAAAAAAAAAAGAAAAGAAAAAAGAAAAATCACTCACCTCCAAAGCCAGGTATGGATATTATGGTTTTGAGAAATCTAAGCAGCATCTGGGAGTGTGGGGGATGTTCTGTGGGTAATCATCCTATACATTAGAGAAGTGGAGGCTGGGCTATATAGCCATGCAGACGATTGCCCAAGCCACAAGAATAAAGGTCATCTAACGGGAAGGTTTAAAGTCGGCAGGGAAAAGGACTCACTCCAGCACCTCAAAGAATAGCTTTTGTATCAAGATGTGGCCCCCAATTCCCTCCAGAGAGTTGGCATTTGTGGAGCCACTTGGCTGAGCTTGTGGCTGTTGCAACAAACACAGAAAAGCAGAAGTGAGACTGTATGACTCTATGGCCACGTCGGAAAAGGTCACATGCTGTCTGCCTGTATCTTTGGGGACATTTACCCTAGGAGAAGCCGGCTGCCGTGTAAGATCTCAGTGCTGGAGTGGCCGTGTGTGATTGCTCTGGTCAAGAGTCCAGCTGAGCTCTCAATTGACAGCCAGCAACACCACCAGCTGTGTGAAAGAGCTGCCTTGGACAGGAGCCCAGCTGGGATTTCAAATGACTACAGTCTCGGCCAGCATTTGACTTCACCCACGAGAAAGACACCAAAGCAAGAACAGCTTGCTGAGACCTTCCTGAACTCCTGACCCATAAAATTGGAGAAAAAATAAAGGGGTTATTTTAAGTGGCCTCATTTGGGGATAATTTGCTATGAGAGATATATCAGTCAGGGTTTACTAGAGAAACAGATATTACACAAGATATACAAATGTATAAGAAATTACAAGATTGGCTTACGATGGTCAGCCACAGAGTTGGATTAAGAAGCGTGCTGGAGGCTGACCATCGTAAGCCAATCTTGTAATTTCTTATACATTTGTATATATTGTGCTATATCTGTTTCTCTAGTAAATCCTTACTGATACAGATTTTGGTACCGGGAGTGGGGCCAGGGGCAAAATGTTATGATTCTAATGTAATATAATGTTGATAGACTTTAATACTGGCTCTTAAGAATTGTTAAACCTGTGTTATAATGTTCAAGTTGTGAAATGATAAGAATGAGCACGTCTTTGTATGTGGAAATGGTTTAAAGAAATGTGTTTGGTTGCCAAGTTGACAGGGCGTGCATCGTTATGGTTGCTACACCGTGTCAACTTGAAAGGTTAGCTGTTTAACTAAGCAACTCAGCAGAGGGAAGTCAGCAGGAGGCCAGGGTCCTCTCTTTGTAACCATCCTCATCCTGTGCAAAAGGCGGGCAAGAAGATGGTATGAGTGCTATACTACCTCTAGATGGGGGTAGCCTGCTTATAATATAAGGGAGGAAAACAGGATTGCTCTCCCTTTTGCTCTTGTTGTTTTTGCTGTCTTCTGCCACCTTGAGGTGTTGCCCCTGTGCCATGCCACCCTGCCTTGTAGTCAGCTGATTATGGAGTAGAACCTCCACAAACTGTGAGCTAAATAAACCTTTCCTTCCTTAATTTAGGGGAAGGGGTATTTTGTCTCAGGAATGAGAGAAAAGTAACTAAGACAACAGACAACAAACAACAGGGGCTGCAAACTCAACCATAACCCAAAAGTGGTCAGATGCGGATGTAAACCAGACAGCAGGGACTGGTGTTGGAGAATAGGTGTGATGGGAAGCCAGGAAGTACTGTGCTGGGCTGTATTCACCCCAAGATCTGCTCTTCGAGCTCTCCTCTCTGCCAGCACCAGGGGTGGTTTCTGGTCTACCTGGCATCTGGATTCGCCTAGTCCTCGGCCAGTGGGAAGCGTGGCAAGGAGGAGTATGCAGGGGCAAGGGGCCAGGGTGATTTGGCCCTTCCCCCATGGCTGTGCCTCCTCCGAGCTCCTGATCCTGCCAGCCGGACAACCCCCTTGAGTTTCCGGCCTCTGCTAGATGACTTCCTCTCTGGCCCCTGGCGACACCACCTCCTCTCTTTGTCCTTCAGCCTGCAGTCAGCAAACTTCCTGCTAGTACCCATTTCCGATTGCTTCACTGGCTCCCATTTGGCACAAACAAAACCATAATATTTCTCCCTTAAATACTGAGGACTGCTGAGCTGAAGAATGCTAGAACGCAGAGGGATTTTCTGCCCTCTTCATCTCTCTGCCTAAAGGCAGGACATAAATTCTCCTTTACTGGAGACAGCTTCTATCAGTTCAGGAGCAGGCACTAGGGAGCCGCAAACCAACGTGGCTCCACCAAATTCTTCCCATCAGATTTGAATCCCACAAGTTTCCCTTCTTTAGCTGTGGTCCTTTGTCCTGTCATTGATGGGAAATTGATTGTTCTTTGTCTAAAAAGTCTAAGAGCATCTTGCTTTGATCAGTTTCTTTGGATTTTACTGTGTTGTGAAATCTCCAGAAACATGTCAATTTAATTAAGCTTGTATGCTTTTCTTTTCTTAATCAGCCCTTGTATTGATATGGTTTCTTTTGCGGGGTGCGGGGGTAGTTTCCGGTACCGGGAATCGAACTCACGACCTTGCATTTGCCAGGCAGGCGCTGTGCCGCTGAGCTAAATCCCCAGCCCCTGATATGGTTCCTTGATCCAGCCAAAGAGCCCACCTAAAAGCCAAGGAGTGATGGAGGGGACCTCACCTCTCCTATGGGCCTCTCAGTTCCTCCCTCCCCTGCATATTCTCCTCCATGTTAATGGTCCTCTGTTTTAATATGGGAGTGGGGCTTTTGGTTTATTTGCAGTACCGAGGACTGAACCCAGGGCCTTCAAACTGAGCTACACTCCTGACCCTTTTTTATTTTATTATTTTATTTTATGTATTTATTTTGGAGACGTGGTCTGGCTAAGTCACTAAGTTGTCCAGGCTGGGCTTGAACTTGCCTCAGCCTCCCAAAGTGCTGGGATTACAGACATGCGCCACAACACCCTGCTTGGGAGTAGTTCTGGATCCTCTCAGGTCCTCAAAGATTCAGGGACTCCAGCCCATGTGCCCAAGTAGGAAGGTGGACCAGTGCGGCCAAACAAATATCCAATGTGTCAGAAACCTAGAATCAGGATCGTCACAGGAAATGTCCAAGAGTCATACACTGTGGATACCAGTGGTTCCCTGACTTCACAGTAGGCAAAAGTAGCAAAAGACTGAGGAGGAGCAGTGGGAACAGCACATTCACTAAGTACCTGCTAGGTGCGGGTACAGGTAAACAAGAAAGTTAAGTACTGAGGTAGGCATGGTGGTGCATGCCTTGTAATTGCAGCATTCTGGAGGTGGAGGCAGGAGGATCACAAGTTTAAGCCCAGCCTAGGCAGCTTAGCAAGACTCTGTCTCCAAATCAACCATTTAAAAAAGGGCCGGGAAAGGAACTCAGTGCAAAGGCCCTGGGCTCAATCCCCAGTACTGCAGGGGGGAGGGAGACAGATGAATACCTGCCCTTGTGCGCATGCGTCATGGAAAAGGAGACACACAAATGAAGGAGGAAAGAGATCAGGGCACTGGTACCTGGCACACAGAGATGGGTGATGTGTGAACACCCACCCCACACGTACGGGGGAGTCCAGCTTTAGTTGGTGGCATGACAGCAACTGTGAGACAGAGGCATTTGAGCTGAGACTTGAGGGAAATAAGATGCCAGCCTTGCAAAGATCTGGGGAATGCTGTACCCAGAAAGGAGAATGGCAGCTACAAAGGCCCTAAGGCAAGAAAGAGCGGGGAGTATGCTGGTAACAGCCAGAAAATGGGCGTGGCTGGGGCCAAAGGGCCAAGAGAGATGTATGGGGTGAGGCGAGCATGGGATTGAAGGTGCTGCATCACAGAAGCCAGCATTTAAGACAGGGATGATCTAGGGGCTTCGCAAAATGCAGACTGCTGGTCCTACTCCCAGAGATGCTGGTTCAGTGGGTCCTTGGCAACAGAGGATGCACATTTCTAACAAATCGTTATGTGATGCTGATAGTCCAGGAATTATCACACTTTAAAAACCATTGGTCTAAACTGGGCATGGTCCACACCCATAAACAGTATGCTGGAAGGCTGAGGCAAGAAGATCACAAGTTCAAGCCTAGCCTGGGCCACTTAGTGAGTCTCTGCCTCAAAATAAAAAATGGAAAAAAGGAGACTGGGGATGTAGCTCAGGGTGAAGACCCTGGGTTCAGTCTCAGTATTAAAAAAATAAAAGGAAAGGAAAAAAACCCAAACTGTACTGATCTAGAACAACTTTCTAGTAGAAATATAATGAGAGTCACACATATGATGTTAAAGTTTCTAGGAGAGAAACTGAAAAAGTAGAAGAAACAGGTGAAAGTAATTCTAATAAAACAGTTCCCTTGTATTTAATCACTTTATTAATAATAAGTCATTGGTGTCACATGAATAGATCCAAAATGTTATTATTTCCATTTATTAGTATTTTTAAATGAATGATAAGACAATCTACATTCTATTTTTTTGCATTAAGTCTTTGACATTCCAGCACGTAATTTTTTTTCACTACTGAAGATTGAACCCAGGTCCTTTTCACTATACTACATCCCCAGCCCTTTTCATTTTTTCTTTTGAAAGCGTCTCACTAAGTTGCTAAGTTGCCTGGTCTAGGCTTGAGCTTGTAGTCCTTCCTCAGTCTCACGCACCATCACGCCTGGCTCCCAGAGTGTGTTTTATACTTGCAGTGCATCTCAGTGAGAGTTAGTCAAGTCTTCAATAGCTAAGAATGGACAGACCCAGAACGTCAGCTATTCTTGCAGGACCCATGAGTTGAGGATGGGGATATGCTCCTGAATTTAGCAACAAGGATGAGCTTTAGCAATGACTTTTATTTTTATGAAGGAGAAGGAAGGAGGAGAATATGTAGACACTTCCTTCCTGAAGTTTGGTGTGGTTTTATAACAGATGGGATCGGACATGGTGGTGCACAGCTGCAATCCCAGCACTCAGGAGAATGAGGCAGGAGGATCATTATGAATTCGAAGCCAGCCTGGGTTACAAAGTGAGTTCAAGGCAAGCCTGAATGACATAGTGAGACTCTGTCTCAGAAAATACATATAGATATAGAGATGTAGATAATATAGATATAGATATAAATATATGTGGCAAATTGGTCAGGCTGAAAAGACCCAAAGTCAACACTAGAAATTCATATCACACAAAAAGACATCAGACATTATTTCCCTGATGGAAAAACCCAACATCAGCCATGATGTATACTTACCCCAAAACTGAACCTACATCTGACCCAGTCTCTAGATCTATGAGTTTGCAAGACACACAAGGGACAGTAGCACACATGAAAGGACATCAAAGCTGCT